ACTTTCGATTAACCGTTTGTCCCAGAAGAATTAACTGCACCATTGTGTATTTAGTATGCAGAAGAAGTGGCCTCATCAACTGACCGGTGGCACGGGGGGTGATATGCTCACGTTCTACTCGTGAGGTCCTAAGTTCCATCCCCAGGTGGGTCGATGGATTCCTACTGCTGATGAGACCAGGTTGAACCAGCTGTCCATTGCTTCCTAGCTTTTCAACCCAAGTTTCATTTGCTCCCAACATAACGAAATTTACTGTGTGACAATCTGGAGAAGCTACAAATATGAAACACGATACAATAAGAGTCCGTAGAAGGCAACTTGGTAGGTGTGAATCACCACCACCAAAAGGTCCTCATCACCATTCCGTTTCTTTGCATGTAGAGGGACAATCTCAAAGAAGAAGATCGAATAGTGTGCTGGCAATAGTCACCCGGGAGTCAGTGGATTTAGCCTCCAAGATCTGTTCACATCGAGCATTGTCGTTGTGTATTAATGCTGTACTATTGACATGCAGTTCATTCGTATCTACACTTCAGTAAAGCCCACTCTACTAGATACAGCGCAACTTCGTCTATTCAACAGGTTTCAGGTACAAACAAGCGCAAAGAAAATCTCGCATGGATTGTTTACCGGATTCGGGAAAAACAAAAAAATAGACGAAACAAGCGAACAATCGATTTTCGTAGGGTATAGCATCATGAAATTCGTCTCTTTCAGGTTATGCGACATAAAACAGGTGTGAGCTCCGGAACTAGAGTGTGGTAACAGTGGTGGTCTGTAAAATGTATTTCTACTTTTTCGATGTATGACCGAGCCGCTCGTGTGTGCATAACAAGGTCGCTGTTATTTTTGAGGTTTATCGAACGAAGACTGTAGGTAGGTAAAAAAGCATTTGAAAGAAAGAAAAATCGTAGCTTGTTTTGATCACCTAGTCTGCATACCTGTTAGCTAGCATGGCTGAAAACAAACAGAGAGGAGTAAATTGCTCTGATCTGAAGCACCGGCTTCCTAAATGTTTCAACTGAAATTACGTGGTGCAGTTAACAAAACTCAGTATAATGAAGGAGAAAAGAGTCGAATTGACAACTGAGTCTCGAATCCAGCCGGACCAACTGATGTTGGCAGTTCATGGATTTGTATTCGCTAGCTGGTCAGGTGGTAACGTCACCCTGGGAATGTGTTTGAATTCCACCACCACCGGCTGATTTCCCCATTGTGTTGGATGGCAGCCCTTTGATTGGCCACTTCCCCCTTCCTGAAAATTGTATCTTCGTATATTTAATAAAAGGAAAACGTTCACATCCTATTTCACTGTGATTTCTTTAGATCTCTTCCAAATTGTTATTCTCACCAGTGAGCATTGTCCCCGTCTTGAACTCCAAGCCAATGACCCCGGGAATTTAAAACCGACTATCTTACCTCAGTAATATCAGTTCAGTTTATTTTTAATCAAAACGGAATAACACTGAACGGGAAAATTGTCTACCATAGAAAAGTCAGCTCGATCAAATTCGATTGCACTCTTCCATTGTGATGAACAAATAATTGTACACAGCAAGTAGTAAGATTCGACAGAAAAGTGCGATCTGTTTAACATTAGCTAACTGAAACAGCCTAATGGAGTAACGTAATAACGCAGTCGAAGGCTGTGCACAGAGTCGGTGACTGTTTCTCTCCTTCTCAAGTATTTGCCTACAAATCCCTCCCATAGAACAAACATTTTTGCATACCACGATATAAATTTGGTTAGACAATAACCACTAGTTGTGTCGCAGGGCAGCCTACTCCCAGCCCGAAGCCAGGGCAACCGTAGGAGCAGTAGGTGGAGCTCAGGTTACAATCAGATCAAGCTTACCATGAAAGGTAATTCTGACTAAGCCGACCAACCAATAATGCAATCGAGAATATACTACATTGTCGCCGAATTGGAGGGACTTTATTTGAATAAACCAAATAATGCAGAAACCCCAGGATTCATGTGATCCGCTGCTCACTCACAACATTCATCACAATAGAAATTCATTCAATTAAGTGTATAAAACATGCCAACTGGAAGCGTTACATTGACCTCAGAGTGTGGACAACCTGAAATACCCTACCACCTCATGTTATCTGTGCGTCTACCAGTGATTTTTTCCAACCGATACCTAATGAATTACCATCTTATCCACCATTTTCATACGCATAAAACAGTAAAACACCTGAGATTTCGCACACGCCGCATTTTTCTCTCTTTGTGCGGATTTACCCAAGAAAAAAAAACCCGAAGGGACAGAAAAAATTAATTATGAGCATTGTCAATTATAAAACTTTGAGTTGGATGTCAGCTGTACTGATTTAAACATCTATCTTATTGCAACACGATAGTTCGTTTCACGTTGACATACAAACACAAAGATGAAGTGAACTGTTTAATGAGATGCTGATAGGATTCAATAATGGCAATCAACTACGCAAAATACATGCATTTCTTGCCCACGAACGATGACTCATTGCAAGTGTGATAAGGTGCGATTGTTTTACATTGGGCTGGAATTATTATGCATGTCAAATATTTGTTTGAAAACTCGGAATACGGAATCAGTTGGTAAAAAACGAGCGGATTATGTTATGTTGTGCGTATATAGTCAGATAGCATAGGAGAAAAACGTTACATGTACCCGAAACGCACGCGTTGTTTGCAAATTTGGCATCCCCTTCGGGTTTAGTTCACGTGTCAGTCGACACAAATGCAAATCAGCGAGCATACCATTAAAAGAGCAAAAAAGTAAAACTCCTGTTAAGTGGAAAACTGCAAAAACCTGCCAATCTTGCATTTGGCCCTGACCAACAACTAAAAAAGAAATATTTCAGGAAACGACTTCGGAATGCGAAGGAGAACAAGCACATTTACACCATTCGGGACGGTAAGTAACAGATTCTAGACTGAAAATGAATATTGACAGTTTGATTCACTATGTTATTCAACCTGTGCTATGCCGACGAAAAGCACTCACGTGACATGATAGTCAAAAGAATTTACATCTGACGTGTTATTTGTTCCTCGAT